GTTTGCTTGACTCAATTATCTATCTCTTTACAGACCAACTATCATTTCCTACCTACAAGTCAGACAAAGCAGTTTTTGCTATTATACTTAGCAACCAGGCCAACCGTTGTTTTTGTCTAAAACTATGACCAAGTCAGACAAACAATTATCTGTTGTTCTGTATCTAACACACAAGTCAACTACCAATTCAGACTAACAAGGAATTGTTTCATAACTACAAATTAGATTAAGTAGGTATTTATTTAAATCTTTAAGTCACTGAAACTAATAATTGCTAGTGACTGTTTTAATTTATGAAACTTTGTTTATTTCACAGTTATTTTATTTCTATCATATCATAAGATTTGTGGTAAAATCTTAAAATTATTAATGTTTTATATTTACAAGTCAGATAAGGTAGCAATTGTTCTTAGACATTCATGCAAGTCAATCCAGCTATCTATTTTTTTACTCACAATTTACACTAATTAGCATTGGACAACACATACAACTTACACAACTATCCATTTTTTGAAACCTAAACTTAAGGCCAAATATAAATTAGGCTAATGGACTCATTAGTCAAATTTGTATTTGGCCTTATTGTTTGAAAACTATGAATAAGACCAACTATAAATTAGACTAGTGAATTATTTATTATTTGAAACCTACGATTATGACCAAACTACAGATCAGAACAATGAATACAATAGTTGAGAGTACTGCTGACTTGAACTTATTACACATAAAAATAAATGAAAATAAAAAACGAGATTTCCAATTACTTTAATTTATTCTATCTAAAGACAAATAAGAATAAAGGTGACTTTATTTCTGAATTTGAATGTTTAATCTATAGATATATCAGAATTAAAATGAAATTCCTGCAACATTATTTTAATTTGTTTTACAGATAAATAAGAAAAACATAATTTTTCCATTAAATTTTAATTTTTACCCCTGAACATAAATATGATGAAAATTAGATTTATTGAAATTTCAATAATTATCTTTAGAAGCCCATAAATAAGGATGAAATTTTTATTGAAATTCAATACTTAATTTAAGTTATCTTCTTTACAGACAGAAGAAGTCAATATCAGCGTCAAATTATCATAACTACTATAAAAAACAGAATAAAGATGATATACTTATTGATTTCTAATTATTATCTTCAGTGGAATATGTGAATTAAAACGAGATTTTTTCTATTTCATAAAGACACAAGTAGCAATAAGAACTTTATTATCTTTAATTTAATTTAATTTAATTTTCAATTGCTATAAATAGTTTAAGATTGTACATGAATTTCTGCATATTTTCATTTATTACTTTTAGAAACAGATTCTAGGTAAATTTGTTTTAATACCTTAGGAGACAAGTGTCCTACTAAATTACAGTCAAACAAGAATGCTAATATAGTTTCTGATTTATGTTTATTACCCTTCAAGACATATAGAAATGTAGCTCATTTTCAATGTAATTTAATTAACATGAGTAACGAAAAAAAAAGAAACGAATATTAGAATTCATTTAACTTCAACACACTATCTCTAGAGGCAAATAAGAATAAAGACGAGATACTTTATAATATTATTTATTCAATTTAAAGAATAAAATAACAAAGAGGGAATTTTTGATGAATGCATTTTATTTCTTTTAGCGATAAAGAGGAATGACTATGATGTTTTGCTGATTTTATGTACTCAAAAAATAAACAGAAAAAGATGAAATATTCGTCCAAGTCTATTTCTCTGTATATGAGCAAGTTGTAATGAAAATGAGGACCGTGTTCAACTTCATTTGCCTACTTCTTACAGATAAATAAGAATTAGGATGAAATTCCTGCTAAATTGTATTCATTCTTTTCAGTAAAAAGAGAACATTTGTGCCGAATTTTTATTTTTGACACTTTTAATTTGGTTTAGAAAAATATGGTATTCCTAAGAAGTTTGTTACATTTCTTTCAGTACAAAATAACAATAAATATGAAGAGTCTGCCGAAGTTCATGAAATTCTTCCAAGAAAAAAGTATAATGATAGAATTTTTCTCATTTCACTTATGAATTTAGGGGCAACGAAGGTGATTCTCATTTGTTGTCTCAAGGAAAAATGTATAATATGAGTACCTATTTACGTGTTTTTGGTTGGGTAAAGCATATTTTTCTAGTGTTGTTAACTCAGTTTGTTTTCATATCAGAATGACATAACATTAAAAATTAGGGGCTTTAGTTTTAAAAGAATATGGAGTTATTAAACTGGTTCTTTATTTTATAATCTCTTTTATTCTTTAAAATGAGAGAATTTTATATATTGCCCCTACAAGTCATACGTAACCAATTCAATGAAATGTATAATTCGTGTTATAACAGAAGTTCCCGTCACGAATTTGGGATAGCGTTCTTGTTCTTTCTAGATGCCGTCGTTTAAATTTCAGATTGTCTTGTGTTGTCATGACAACCTGAATTTCACACTAATGTCAGATTTATTTCAACTTACAGAAAACACGATTTTTGGAGTACCATTAACAATACTTTTGGAATACGACTGTCAAATGTATACACACTGCAGAGTACCTTTAGTTTTTCAAAAGGTAAGTGAAGTTGACGATGAAATACCACTGATTTACTATAGTCTTATTTTGTTAATGAAATCGAAATATGTATAGGTACAATTACACTGTAAAACTTGCTCCAAAATAAATTTGACGCTAATGTAATAATAAAGTAATATTTGTACACACTACCTTAGTTATAGCATAGACCAAATAATAGCAGTAATTAAAGCGGGTACAAGGCAAATTATCAAATTTAATTCTAAAGAATTTTCTTCTTTTTTTTTTTGCATCTATTGTTAAACTTCTGTTCTAATTTATAACGTTATCTAGACAACTAAATTCTATTTTCGTGTCTATTTTGTATTACGAAGAATACAATTAGACACAAGTATGCTTTTTGTGTTAATTTGTCTAGCTTAATATTTTAGTTTTTGCCTAAACGTGGACACTGACACAAATATCAAGCAAAAAGTTTGGTTAATTTGCCAGTTTAATTTGACTGATGTATAGTGATGTAACTTGGATAAGACCAGCTTTAAATCGACTGATGTATAGGATTGTGACTTGGATAAGACAAGCTTTAATACGACTGATGTATAGTGATGCAACTTGGATAAGACCAGCTTTAATTTGACTGATGTATAGTGATGCAACTTGGATAAGACCAGCTTTAATTTGAGTGATGTATAGTGATGTGACTTGGATAAGACCAGCTTTAATTTTACTGATGTATAGGGTTGTGACTTGGATAAGGCCATGTATAATATGACTGATGTAGAATGTTCTAAATTGGCTAATTTGTTACTTTAATCTGACTGATGTAGAATGTTGTAACTTGGATAAGACTAGCTTTAATGTGACTGATGTAGTGTTGTGATTTGTATAATGCCAGCTTTAAGCTGACTGGGTGTTCAGATTTGGATAGACATAGTTGTAGCAATCTTACATTAGTTCAGAAATGGAAAAAAATACTCGAAAGAAGCTTAGAATAGTTTACTTGTTTGTTGTTACGCAACATTCCATACAATGGGCTATCTGTAATCTGCCAACCAGCGGTATCGAAAACTGATTTTATGTTCTCAGACTTTCCGCTGATCCACGTTTAAAATATATATTATGCTGTAATATTTTTGCTTAATTTGTATTTTTTACGTTACGTTTGAAATTCTTCTTTTTACCTCGCAGGTTAAAAATTTTTCAGTAAGAACTTTAAACTGGCCTAACATATTAGTCTAGTAAAATAGGAATTTTTAACTTTTAATTAAAAAAAACATTTTGAGCAAAACCGTTATTCTGACACATTCTTGAATGTTTGCAGATACTGTTTTACCTAGAGAATCAAGGCCTAACGGAAGTAGGGTTATTAAGGGTTGGGTGTTCCAGGCAGAAAGTTGAGGTTAGTTTTCTTTCGACATTTGTAGTTTAAGCCAAAGTATGATATAAATTAAGGAATCCTCAGATCTTGTCGAGTAATATTTACATTTGACCAGAAGTTTATATCCCTGCTCCTTGTCTTTTTCTTATTGGTTTATATGGTATTGGTGTTTAATAATTCCATGAAAAAAATCAGGCAAATCGCTATTTGAAATCGGATTTACAATATTAAAGATTAACGAGAAAACAAAAATATATGTCTTACGTTGACCTCAATTTCTAGGAATATCAGAATTGGTGTCTTCGTTGTTGTGAGTGTTATTAACCTAAATTTAATTACAAAAGTTAATTTCAGACAAAAGACCGATGCAAGTAATCCTTCAACTATATTTTATAAAGAAGTTTTTCACAATTAACCTGTTTCTTCAGACCAAATATTGAGGTATGTCTTCCATTAAAATGAATAACAATTGGAATTAATTGCAAGCTCAGACTATTTTTACTTCATATGTAATAAAGAAGCATAATGAAAAATATTCAGATATTTGGCAGTGGGTGAAGTAACGTTTTCCAGAATGTTACATTTATTGTACCATCGTTTCTATTCATTAAATATTTTTATTTTACATAACATGAAGACAGTACCTTAAAATCTCTTTTTGATTTTGTTTTGGTATTTTTTATAATACTTACGTTTTATAAATATTGCTCCTCATTACACTGATGAAGGTAATTTTTCCCCATTTTTTATTTAAAATATCGATTTTGATTTTCTTTCGTTTGACCTATACAAGTCTTACTTTGTGTTTCTTTAAATCCCAAGATTTTAGAATGTTTTAAGTTCTTTCTAAATACTAAAATTAATAACTTTATTCAAAACAACATTATACCATATGGTACACCAAAACAACATTAAAGCATATGGTACACCAAAACAACATTAAAGCATATGGTACTTCAAAACAACATTATGCCATATGGTACATCAAAACAACATTTTACCATATGGTACATCAAAACAACATTATACCATATGGTACTTCAAAACAACATTATACCATATGGTACTTCAAAACAACATTATGCCATATGGTACATCAAAATTGTTTTGATGTATCATATGGTATAATGTTGTTTTGATGTATCATATGGTATAATGTTGTTTTGATGTATCATATGGTATAATGTTGTTTTGAAGTACCATATGGTATAATGTTGTTTTGAAGTACCATATGGTATAATGTTGTTTTGAAGTACCATATGGTATAATGTTGTTTTGAAGTACCATATGGTATAATGTTGTTTTGATGTACCATATGGTAAAATGTTGGGAAATAGTTTGATACATTAAAACAGATGATGTGTGACGTGGCTTCATTAAGGAATAAGTTTGATACATTAAAACAGATGATGTGTGACGTGGCTTCATTAAGGAATAAAGTTTGATACATTAAAACAGATGATGTGTGACGTGGCTTCATTAAGGATTAAGTTTGATACATGAAAACAGATGATGTGTGACGTGGCTTCATTAAGGATTAAGTTTGATACATGAAAACAGATGATGTGTGACGTGGCTTCATTAAGGATTAAGTTTGATACACATAATGTGGATGTTCTGATTCAAGATGACGGAAGGTATATTGGACAGTGGACACCTTCAGGGATAGATTGTATGGAAGAGAGTCTCTTGACGATATAATCACGTGCTTCAGAGAGTGCTTCACATCAGTGCTTCAGAGAGTGTGTTAATTATTAGAAAATTAAAAACGAGAGTGATTAATGATTAATTATGCAATCAGTTTAGGGTTAGTGCCTCAGATAGTTTCTGCAACTCGTAACCAAAGATGATCGTTGGTTAAATTGGAACATGCTTTTATAAACTTAACAAAGATGGTGGTAAAATTATAAACTCTTTTTTTTTCTCAGCTGTTACAAATTGTTAACATGGAGGTTGTAAGACAATTGTTCAACATAGTATAGTACGAAGTTTTGATCAAATCGATAAACCTTAGTAAGTTGTGACAAAACAATACTCTTCTGTAGAATGTCCAGCGTTTCCATTAGATGTTCATCTAGTTGAGTATAATAGTTGTGGAGTTATCTTTAGATGTTGTGATCAAGTTATTTTGTGACGAAGCACTATTTTATACCATCTAGTCTCATTAGGTCCTTTGAATAATACGTTTATGTTAAACTCACCCAACATTGGACATAGTGTATCCAGTTCTATTATTTTATGGTACAGGGTTAAAAGTCACATTTCTGGGTGGTGATGTCTATTAACGTCATAGAGGCATCATGTGCAGGGTTAAAGGTCACATCTACGGATGGCGATGCCTATTAGCGTGATAGAAGGAGCATGTACGGGATTAAAGTTCACATTTTTGGGTGGTGATGTCTATTAACGTCATAGAGGCATCATGTGCAGGATTGAAGATCACATTTATAAGTGACGATGTCTATTAACATGATAGAAGCATCATGTGCAGGGTTAAAGGTCACATTTCTGGGTGGGTATGTCTATTAGCGTGATAGAAGGATCATGTACAGGGTTAAAGGTTACATAATGTGTTAGCCTATTAGCATTGGGTTCAATGCAGTTGTTTTGTACAGATATCACAATCACTTCTTCTTTTAAGTGATATTTGTTTTTATTTAAGGTACTGAAGAAGGAAATTGAGGCTAGTTTCTATACTTCTCCAAATTTAGTTGACAATATTTTACACAGCTGTTCTCCACACGAGGTAGCCAGTTTGTTGAAACAGTTCATCCGGGGCCTTCCGGAACCTCTTCTCACCAACAAATACATGAACGCCTTTCTACAAATACAGCGTAAGTCAATTAATAAAATACATTTCTAGTCATGTTTATTGTTTATGTAAACACACAAGTTGTAATAGAAGTTTGGTTTTCATTATTCTAATGGAGTCTGAATGATTCTACCGCGAAAAACTTCTTTTGTATAGAAGGAACTCCTAGTCATCTTATGGAGAAGGAAAATAAGCATGAAATTTGTAAAAGTATTTTTAAAGGAATGACGAATGTTTTTATTGCGTTTTTTCTCTAACATCTTTATTGACTTTGTCTTAAGAACTCTACATACATGTAACTTAAAATCTAACAAGTTTTGATACAGTTTAAATTTACATTACACAGTGAAGCAAGAAGGATAATTTTCTCAACTATTTTAGAATTAAGGATGGAAAGGAAAATTAACTTGTAAGACAAAGAATTTCCTAGATTTCGTCAAAATAAAGGAGGAACAAGAAATATAATTTGAAATACTAAAAAGAAAACGACATCTAATAAGATGCCACAAACTGAAAGCTGGGCAAAAAAAGTTGGAATATGGTGAAGTGTGTGTGTCTGATTACTGCGCCCCCCAGTGGCACAGCGGTATGTCTGCGGACTTACAACACTAGAAACCTGGTTTCGATATCCGTGGTGGGCAGAGCACAGATAGCCCTTTGTGTAGCTTTGTGCTTAACTACAAACCAAAAAAACAAACTGATTACTGTATAGCCGTAACGTGTTTAAAAATTAGCCTTTCTTTTTTCTTGCTAATTCATATGTTAACATTGGGTGTCAGTTTTACATAATTCTTTTAAATAGTTGGAATAATTATTAACGTGTTACTGTACAGATGTCGCTAGCTTTGTTTTAACTACGTTGGTTCCTTTGTTCTACCTGTATGTAAATTATGTACAATCTTATTGAAATTATTGAATGCCGGGTTTTCTCTCTTGTGATAAGACTGATATAATTCAATGTATTATTAGACTTATTAGTGTATCAGTAGTTACCCCAGGAGTTCAGACACGCCACTAGAGGGTGCTACACATGTGTCGAACTCAGGGATGGAGAAGGGGATAACGATGACGTCATAGTTCCAGGAAGTAAGGCCAGCACAAATTTGAACAACATGACTATAATTAATAGAGTCGGTATAAACACTAAATTACTAGTTAATTAAATTTCCTGACCATTTATAGTTAAATCATCTTAAAAGGATGATATCATGAAATGATTAAACTTACTGTTTGACTCTTTAATTATAAATCAAGAGATTATTTCAACGACTTTCGGCGCTTATTTAATATGCAAGACAAAATATTTCATTTTACACATGATACTTTTATAGTTTTATCTTAAATGAGTTTTACAAAGGCAGACACTATACTTCCACTTGTGATTACATCATCAATGTCTAGATTTAAAACCAATATTTTGCATATTTTAATATCTGTACTAGTTCATTTTGCTACAACTAAAAATAATAAATGAATGCCTTGATGTTTATCCATCCATCATTGTCCAGTACCCGAGTTCGTAGTGTCCGCTGGAATGTATCATGGAACTATTACGTAATTGTCCGTCATGGCTGCCTGTCATGGCGGCATAACAACGCCCCCTCTGGTGACACTTCGTGGAATTATGACGTCATGGTCGCTTCTCATGGCAGCCTAGCAACGCGTTCCTAACAAACACGTCCTCTGGTGTCATTTTGTGGAACTATGACGTCATCGTCTTTGATGGCATCATCTCCTTCCCCCCGAGTACGACACACGTGTAGCGCCCTCTAGCGGCACATCTGAACTTCCGGGGTAACTACTTGTATTGCAAAGGTTATATTTTTTTAAAAAGTCTGAACAATAATCTGATTAGAACAAGAGTTTATTTCTTTATTGACCTAGATATTTTGAAATACAAAGCCTGAAAACTATTTGTCTGTAATGCAGGATTTTTGTTTACAGATATCCAAGAAACCGTTAAACAACTACAGACGTTAAACCTTTTGGTATTACTGTTACCAGAAGCTCACCAAGAAACTTTACTTGTAAGTTTACGTCATTTGGTAAATAATCAAATAAATTAAAGCATTTATTATAATGTGTGACAATATCAAGTACGTTCAGAAATGAAAATAACTTATCTGTCATAAATATAAAATTTAAGTATAACTTTAGAACTAATGCTAGGAGAGTGTAGACTAATATTTTACTTTACTGTTTTTATAAATAAAGGTGAAGAGTTTTAGAAACTGACAACTTTACTACAACGATATGAATTTTCTTTGTTGAGTGATAAACAACGTATATTTTGTTTATTAGAGATTCCATGTTTGACAATCAATTTGGAGTTAGTTATTGATAATCAGGTCTGAATGCCCGCTTCGACAAGAAAACGTTTTATGTTGTTATTTTAATTTAACCTTTAATGATTTACAAGGCAGTAATAATAATGTTAACCGAAGAATCAAGATTCAACAGGAGTTAAGAAAATATAAACTTGATATTACACACACAAAAAGATAAGTAATGTCAAATTTCTCAGAATATTTGTGTTTCTGGAAAGAAAATGTGTGTTCTTTATATTAAGACCCATCTAATATACAAGGCTGAATTTCTTGCTCTTCATAACCAGCAAAGTATCAGATTAACATGACAGTTATCTTGATACAATATGTTATAAAGCTCAAATAAGTCTAACTCAATAAAAGATAATAAACAAAATTCACATTAAAATAATTTGATATTCAAAATAAGTATATATATTCCATTTAAACCTAAGAATGACAAAACTACAAAATTAATATATATTATGGATGCCAATTGTAAAGCTGGTTCTACTATTATTATATCTTGATAATAGATTCATTTTCATGGACTGATCATGTACCTCCAATCACATCATAGACTTGTTAAGTACCTTCCTACCACGAACTAATCAAGATATTCCTTGTCATAAAGTGATCAAGTGGATCTTTATCACAGACATCGACTGATCATGTACCTCCCATCATATCACAGACTGGTTAAGTACCTTCCTACCACGAACTAATCAAGATATTCTTTTGTTATAAAGTGATCAAGTGAATCTTTATCTCAGACATCGACTGATCATGTACCTCCCATCATATCATAGACTAGTTAAGTACCTTCCTACTACAAACTAATCAAGATATTCCTTGTTATAAAGTGATCAAATGGATCTTTATCACAGACATGGTCTGATCATGTACCTCACATCATATCATAGACTGGTTAAGTACCTTCCTACCACTGACTAATCAAGATCTTCCTTGTTATAAAGTGATCAAATGGATCTTCATCACAGACATGGTCTGATCATGTACCTCCCATCATATTATAGACTAGTTAAGTACCTTCCTACTACAAACTAATCAAGATATTCCTTGTCATAAAGTGATCAAATGGATCTTCATCACAGACATGGTCTGATCATGTTCCTCCCATCATATCATAGACTAGTTAAGTACATTCCTACCACTGACCAATCAAGATCTTCTTTGTCAAAAAGTGAGCATTTGGATTTTGCATCACATAAAGTGCAAATATCTGCCCATCATGAATTGGTCAAAAGTCTTTCCACCACAGACTTGTCAAGTGACTCCCAATTATGGACTGGTCAAGAGCATGTACATTATAGGCTGGTCAAGAGTATCTACATTATGAGTTGGTCAAGATCCTCTACAATATAGGTTGGTCAACAGTTTCTACATCTCAGGTTGTTCAAGAACCTAAGTACCTTATTAGGCTGACAAAGTATCTCCCTATCACAGATTAGTCGAGTATCTATCTTTCTCTCTTTCATAGTCTGGTCAAGTACTTACCCAACAAGTACGTGAAATAAGCGACTGTTGACCACTCGCCAAAATACTTGCTTATGATATAAGTCCACCTGCTAAATTACGGAAGAGAACAAATTGGTTATCTGGTTAACCTGCGAAATAAGTATATGTAAGCTACTGGACAGCAATTATCTTATGTGAATACATACTGGACAGCAGTTATCTTATGTGAATACATACTGGACAGCAATTATCTTATGTGAATACATACTGGACAGCAATTATCTTATGTGAATACATACTGGATACGACTGAATTCTTTACTGCCATAAATATGTACTAAATATAGTTAGAAGCTTTTGGTTTACTATCTTCACCAATGGAGAGTTAAAAATAACTTTAGTTAGCGAGAAACAGTTAAAATGCAGTCCTTATAAAAGCTTTACTGTGAATAAATTGCAATTACTGAAAAGTTTGAAAGTCTATCGTTTTCGTATATTCAAAGCTACGATAAAAATATGAACTCTAGAGAATATCCAGATGTACATTACCAAATTTAAATTCACACTAAATTTTCTGATATGGAATATGGCTGAAATAAGGAAAAGAAGGAAGAGACAGATAAAATGGACAGGGAATAACTTTTATTGTGTATCTAAAAATTTTATTATTTATTAATGCAAAACTACTGTTAATAAATATAATGTACACCAGCAGTTAGCTTTGTATCAGAAGAAATGTAACGTTGTAAAGAAACGAAAGGAAACTAATTTCATTCAACAATGTCGCCAACATCCCACATAATCTCATCCAACAATACCATAGATACTCGACATAGCCTATGTTTTTTATAAATAATTGGTTTTTAGAGATACATATTTTTCTTGTTTAGGCTCTTGTCACTTTTCTGGCACAGTTAGCAGCAAATGAAGACAAGAATAAGATGAATCTTCGGAATATCGCTATGATAGTAGCACCAAACCTGTTTCCTCCTCCTCCAAAAGGCGACTTACAATCGGAACTTCATGTGGCTACCATAACGTGCAGGGTGACGGAAATGTTGATCAAATACAGGGACATTTTGTGGACGGTAAATTAAATAATTTTTGCTTTAAATTAAATATTTCATGCTATTTTTTATATTTATAACATATAATAAAACCAAATATTTTGATTGTAATTATTTTATGACATGTTTTATTAATAACCTTATTAACTGCTTTTCATGCTATGGTGTAAAATTTACAAACTGAATTGGAAAGAAAGTACACATTAATAATTCTGATAAATTAATGCTTTATGTTAATAAACCAAAATGTTTCTGTGATAATATTACTAATAGGAACTATCTACATCAGGTGGCTCAGCGGTAAGTCTGAGAGTTTATACCGTTAAAAATCTGGTTGCGATGCCCGCGGTGGGTAGAGCACAGATAGCTCATTATGATTACTAGTGATTCACAAATATATACATATATATATATATATGTGTGTGTGTGTGTGTGTGTGTTTCATTTTAACAAATTCGGCTAACGCCTACCAAGAAATATATGGATTATGTACTGGAGAAAATTTCAGTTTGAAGTTTCATACATAACAAATTTCAGTGAGAAAGACTAGGTTATATTAAAACGATACTGAGACCTCACTACGTGGTAACTTTTTATGCTGCCTCGTTCGGCATGCTCTATCTGACGATTGCGCATCATTATTATAACCATGCAGAGTAATTTCCATTCCAAATAGCTCCTTTGTAAGGCTGTCATGTCCAAAGCACAACGCTCCTCCACGAAGTCTTTCTATAATTGATCTAGTGTACAAGAACGATTGTTTTCAATTGCCCGCTTCAATAATCTGACTGCGCAGAAACCCATAAGCGCGCGATTTCACCGGCATGTTTCTGTATGGATATCCACTTCACTCTTCAGCTGCTTGAAGTATGCGATGGTTGAACAAATATGTCGTGGAAGCAGCTTGTGTACACGTCACTTGTGTCGCTTTTCCAGATTGAGAGCCATCTTGATTATGTGAGATACGTGGACGGCTTTAGCTACTGACCTTTGTGTTTGTAGTTTCTCACCTGTTACAAGACGTCACACTTTACTTACCACACCTGGTACGACTTGTTACAAGCCTTTTTTTCCCGGATAGTTGTGGTTCCCAAGTTGATTCATATTCCTTTGTTTTCCATTGTTATTAAGTACAATTAATATCCCTTCCTCCGAAACTTTAATTCCCCAATCAGATCACAAATATGTGATAAGGCTGTACTAGTGTTTTGGGAAGAGCTGATGCATACCCTATCCAAAAATCATCAATTTGCACAATACGGATGTAACGCGATAAATGTCGATATTTAGTTATGATGCATCCGTCTCACAGCGACTTCATACAGGCTGTGTTGTCACGTGACATATTCAAATTCGTTTTAATGTAAAGTAATGAATCCTCTGTAAAGATTCGTACTTTATGTGATATGTTCCTAATATTATATTATTTATTTATATAATTTACTAATTATATTTTAACGTCAATTACTTATTTTTTATTGTCACTTTTTTTCTGTGTAGCACAAAGAAGTGTTACTGAGTCTATCTATTAACCAATTCTGTTTTCAGATCCCAATTTGCTTGTTAAAACAAGTCCGAAAGAATAACGAATACGAAGCCTTAAAGAAAACTGACCATAAATTAGTAAGTTATTTTGTAAAATAATGCATTGATATTTTGATAGAAATAATTATGGACATCGAAATGCAATGAGAATGTTTCAACTAGACATTTTATCAATTGTTTAACAAATAGAAGTGTTTTTAGTGGTAAAATCCTAATATTCAAAAAATAACATAACATTGGAGATTGAATACTTTTAATAGCTACAACTTCCATAAAAAATAACCTGTGATAAAAAAAAGATTATCATCTTGTCCAGGAAAAAAGGAATACAATATTTACATGTCTATCTGAAATTATTTGCTTTACATATTTTAAAGCCATATATGATGTACATTATGAATATAATTATTTTTATCTGCAGAAAAAGAAACTGAGAAAGAAAATACGAGTAGATTTCTACGAAATAATAGAACAAGTAAGGTCAATACTGTTTCTTTTTCTTATTGGTCAACAATAGCTCCTATGATATGTAGCGTGGAGAAATACAAGCAGTTAACAAAACTAATTACATATTATACATTTGATTGCAGCAACACTTATAACAGTGAAAGTTCTTAAAGTATTTATATATATATATATTATAGGTATGTATGTATGTGTATATACATATGTGTGTATCTAGGTATGTATTTGTGTGTGCATCACCATCTTGGTTGGTGTTAACGAATTGCCTATGATTTAGCCTATGTGTGAAAGTAATGTATGATTTACTGATTTAATATTATTGTATTTCTAAAGGATGAGTATTTTTGGGTTATATAAACAATATAGTATTGTCACAAACATATTTTTTTATTTTCTTAATAAATTTAATAAAACTGTTTATTTATTATTATTGATATTATGTAACTGTTATTTTAAATTATCATATCACACAACAAGTGTTATCTTATAAAATGCACCATTAGCGTGTTATAGAAACCGTTTCAAATAGGAGAATTTAATATTGTTAAAATTTCACAATCAAGATGTATGAGAACAAAAACATATTTTAGAAAGAATACAAAAATATTAAATATTTATTACAACAAAGAAACTAGTCGCCAACCTTTTCTAGCCACTTATTTAACACGTTCATTAAGCAGGCAATTAATGTACAGTTCAGATTTGTGACGAACCGAATAGTAACGTTACATTGGTTTTTAGGGCTAATTTAAATAAAGAGAGGCTTAGTAAAATATTATATATGTTTATCACTAAACATATTCAAATAATGGAGCTTATATCTGATGTTGATTTATTCTAATGTGATTTTGTCCCCCGGTGGCACTGTTGTAAGTCTGCGAACTTATAACGCTAAAAACCGGGTTTCGATACCCGTGGTGGGCACAGCACATAGAGCCCATTAAGTAGCTTTGTGCTTAACATAAAGTAAATATAATGGTATTTTATACTGCTCCCTCCAAATGGTTCAACGGCAGGCTTCAGTGTCTATTACGCAAAATTCAGTATTAAATCTCTGCGTTGAGCACAGTGCAGATAGTCTCTTGTGCAGCTTTGCGCTGAAAACAAACAATATGCAATAAGTTCACAGATAGTACATGTAGAGCAAAAACACAATTTACAACATTCATTGCGAATGTGGACTCCACAAGAGAGACTAAAATACCAAAAAAGGTAGAATTCAAGAGCCAGAAATAGGAGAGTCTGTAATCTTTCTGCAATAACCCATTATACAAGAGAAGAAGCCATACAATAATAGTGAAATAATGGAATATGAACCGTACAGGAGAAAAAGAAAGGTAAAAGAAGCCTTCTAGATTCACTTAATTGATAACACACTCACTCAACTTAGTATATCATTCAGGAAAACCTGTATACCTCTCTTGAAGGCATTCAAATAAGTTAGTTCTTCCAATGGAAGAAATTCTAGACGAGTAGATAATACATTAGTCTCTATACTAAGAATACCACCACAGAAACAGTTTTTCTCAAACAGAACATAAACTGACAGGTATTCGGATGGAAAATTAGCCCGAGTTGCAAAACAACTCAAACTATTTAGCGTCAGGGATTATCTAGTCCTTCTTCGCTCCGCAAGTGGTTAGGCCGTATTTAACGATATTATTGTTTTTAATATATTGCGTGATTGTTGACAAAGGCTGACAAAGTGAAGGCTAGGCGAATCCTAGTAGTCTAAAGAGCGAAGAAGACGAGAAATTGTTACAAAACTGCAACAAACGGTCCTGAACAGGGGCTAGCAGGGATCTACAGGTCCAACGCCTTGAAATTATGTGTGTGTGGAAACGGGAGTGCCCACTTTCACAGGGTGGGACCGACCAGATGAAGACTACGTGAAGTACTTAGAAAATAAATTACTTAGATATAATAGTTAAGATGTAATATTATCTCGGAGGATAAAATTATATAGGGATAGGTATTTTCTCCATGATCGGGGGCAATATTGGAGAAGAGAGACGTAAGTGGTTTTTGCAGTATTTGATTGCGTGATTAATTAACCTATTTTCTATAGAAGATAAGTCAGAGTGTTTTTCAACATAACAGTGTAGGTAGGGAGGTGATATACCAATCATGCGGTTATGTTGTAATGCTGTGAGCTGTTGTGTTTTTATGTTACATGTTATCATGCAGGCATTTCCATAATGGCTCTGATGAAGGATTATGTATATGTATAGAACAATGGTTGTCTTGCATCTGTGTACGTTGTGGCTCATTTTCATCAGGTATGTTATTCTGGCTGGTGTGTTTTTTTAGAGATTTCTATGATATGGGAGCTACAGGTGAAACTACAATTTAGTGTGACGCCTAAGAATTTCACAGTGTTAGAGAAGGTGATAGGAGAGGTGTAAAGAGCTAGTCTGGCATTTCTGATGTTTTTACATTTTTAGTCCTTCTCGTGACCTCCCTCAAAATGGAAGTCGAAACGTACAAAAACAGCTAGTTAGTATCTAGTGATAAAGAAGATTAATAATGAAACGTACATGCTATTAACGATGACAAAAAAACAACAAGTATACACTTTGATTTGGGTTTTTAATTTTACAATGGCTATCGCATATTTCATGCTGTCTAAATAAGTATGCACAGTGTGATGTAGCTCCAAACTATCCCTAATTAAACCAAACTGTGTGCTTGACACAAATTCAACATTTGGACGTGTTTCTAAACTTACATTACTTGAAAGAAAAACTTAGATTACTGGGAGTGTATCAAAATTTTATTACTTTGATAAAAATATATCCTTGGGCAGGTTGATTGGATTAAAATGCGTTTGACAAAGAACTTAAGGCAGCTGGAATTGTTTCCTTTGGTTATCGTAAGGTGACTGTAGGTTCAGAAATCAAGACAGGTGGTATTGTTTACAAGCTCACAATGATTGTCACAGCAGACTATCGTACTTACAGATATATTTTCTTTACGCTGTTAATCAATGTATTGCCATCAACTTTCCCTATTTAAACCCAAAATATACATTTCTCACGTTGTTTGGGTAGACTATCGTATATACACATATCATTTTTGAGAAGTATTTTTTTAAATACCAACTTTCACTCCTCACACCCCCATTAATTCTTAATTTACTCCTTTCAAAGCCACCAGGATAAAAGGCTATGTAAAGGAAGGTGCGCCTTCCAAAATCATTAGGTTATTAGGTTTCATGGAGCACCTTCCAAAATCATTAGGTTATCAGGTTTCATGGAGCACCTCCCAAAATTATTAGGTTATCAGGTTTCATGGAGCGCCTTCCAAAATTATTAGGTTATGGTTATCAGGTTTCATGGAGTGCCTTCTGAAATCATTAGATTATCAGGTTTCATGGAGCGCCTTCCAAAATCACGTACACGTTAGATCAACCATTTCATCAGAAAAGCCGTTTCCAGGTCATCTTTAGTGTCTGGGAGTAGTATGTATGTTATCTCTCAAGAGCATCTCATACATGCTGGATGTCAGTGGAGACATCTCCATGAGCCAGTCTCCCTTTTCAAGTCAAATGAGAGTGCAGGCAACTTTATATGACCAATCCACCACTTTTTAGGGAATTTGTTGTCCAGTTTAGCAAAGAAAGGATCGGTGCTACCATTCGCTAGGCCTAAAATCAGAACAATGGATAACATGTGTGATATTAATAGTTTAGTGTAAATAAACATATCCTCTGTAAAGAACTTCAAAGACTTGTAAAACGTCTTAAAGGTGAAGAATGTAATATAAATACAAGCTCGCTATCGCTGAAGTAAAATGCATAATTGATAAAAAGATAATATTACCAGTGAAATGTCTCTTTTCTCTATGGTTTAAAAGTATTATCTATAGTCATACAACTGAATCTTAAGTTACTGAATCAGGAAAAGCTCGAAAATATATAATAATGTATTGAAGTATGTTTTATTTGTTTAATAATATTTCGGTTAAAATAACTAATCTCTAATGTATCCTCTAGTCGAACATCACCAAGGCCGAGATAGTAATAAAACCCCGACAGTTTAATTCCCAACCTTTCTCTGTAAATATTGACGTTAATACTAGGGTTAGCGATGTGACCTATACAGCGGCTCAACATCTTGATGTGATTTTCTCTTCACAGAACATTGCTAATAAAGACGGTTATTCTCAAAGGTAAGAAAGGATTTGTTACATAAAGTTACTTGAAATACGAGAATGAGCGATATATACTAAACATGTTTGTTAACTCCTGCAGTAATATTATAGTCAGGATAGCAGCTGCATGTTACCTCAAGGATCATCAAAGTCAGTAAGGGATATGTTTGTTACCTCCTAGTCTAACTATATTACTCTAGGAGGTAACAAACATCTTCCATATCTAACTATATTACTCTAGGAGGTAACAAACATCTTCCATATCTAACTATATTACTCTAGGAGGTAACAAACATCTTCCATATCTAACTATATTACTCTAGGAGGTAACAAACATCTTCCATATCTAACTATATTACTTATGGGAGATGGTTTTTACCTCCTGGAACAATATTATCAGAAAGAGAAGAAATTTCAAAAAAACATAAGAACTAAGGTCAAGGAAAAATTTTTTGGTTAACTTCAGGATTATTATAGTCAGAGAAAAGAGACGTTTCTTACCTGTTCCAGTATTATAATTATGAAGGGATAATGCACTATTACATCCTGCAGTATTTTAGTCAGGAAGAGGACATGCTCGTTACCAAATATGGAAGATTGTGTTACCTCCAGGGTAATTATATTCATGAAGGAGATGTTTCTTACAACCTGATGTATTTTAGTCCAAGAAAGATGAGATGATTATTGAAACATTATAGTAAGATAGGTGAGATGTTTGTTACCTGTTGGATAATATAAGTTAGATAGAGAAGATGCTGGTTGCCTTCTGAAGTATTATGAATATGATTTATACTTAAGGAGAATTAAAGTCAAGAAAGAAGAGGTTGTTCATCTCCTGGATTGTTATACGTAGGAACACAACTATGTTTTTTATTCAAGGAGAATTGATGTAATTTTCCCTTCCCAAGTATTATAATGAGATATGGATATATATATATTTCTAATACCTAAGAGAAGTACAGTTTATTACTTCCTGGAATATCGTATTTAAGAAATGTTATTTAATACCTGGAGTAGTATAGTCATGAAGGGAAAAAAATTGTTACCTTCTTCAGTATTATAATCAAGCAGGAGAGGTTATGCTTGTCTATAGGAGTATTCTAATCATGATGAAACTTTTGTTATCTCCTGATGTATTATAGTCTGATTTCAAAGACATTTTTAACTCGGAAAGTATTATAGAGTGAGAAGATAGATGTTTCTTATCTCCTGGAGGATCAGATTCACAAAGCAAGATGTATGTTACCTCCTGAAGTATTAAAGTTGGTAATAGGATATTCTTATTACCTCAACATGAAATAAGGTCGTAGAAAAACAACGACTGTTAGGTAGACCTCAATAAATAATATTCTTCATGAAAACCAATTAATGTGATGTATTGGTAAAACAATTATACCATTTAAACCCAATTATGTATTAATGCAAGAACCAAAAATATTTTGCTACACGTTTCAACTATATTGGTCAAACCCTTATTTATAATTTATTCGGATAATACTTTACCCGATAATGGCTCAGACAAATGTAGTCAAGACGCGTAGCAAAATATCTCTGTTTTTGCAATAATAAATGAATACCAGTAGAAAAAATATTTAAACAAATTGAAAGTGTAGAAATGGTGCAACAAAAAGTGAAGAAACAAAAAAGTAATGAGCATGGTGTAATACAACTTCCTCTGTGCAACCTCACAAAGGGGCGTGTCCAACATTTGGCTTATGCCTACTTCCAGAGGCGTCGCTAGGTTTTTAAAAGATTCAGGGCTCGGGCTCATAGGCGCGGACATTTTCGGCGATTCATTATGATATCGATCATGGTTCTCTATTCCGATTTTTCAAGATACCAACTGGGGATTCGGGGCATCGGCCCCGTGTGCCAGTGCCTAGTGACGCTTCTACCTACTTCATTTATTTTTTCTATTCTTTATACAATAAGCCAGGTGTATTCTTGTATTCTACAAAAGTAGAAGAATCATAGATACACGTTTGTATGTACCCAAAAGTTGTATAATATCACGAAGACAAAAGAAAAGAAGTAGGCATTGATCAGATGTTGGACACGCCCCCTAGTGAGGTTGTATAGAAAAAGTTTTACATCATGCCCATTCCTACCTTGTTTCCTCAGTTTCTGTTGCACCCATTCCTACACTTATTCATGCACTTTTTTCGTACAACGTGACAAGATTTTATGCATCATTCGTTCGTTTGTGATGACATATTGTTTGTATGTCATCCGTGTGGGTGTGCACCATAATATTATGATACATGCAAATAATGATATGTGTGTGTGTGTGTGTGTGTGTGATGTTTAGTATATAAAAACTAGCACTAGCACCTAGTTCATGGGCTATTGTTCTATTTGGTGTACTTATAACTATGGTAAATCTGTTGTTACAGAGCTAGAAGCGTTCAAAAATGTCAGTTAGTCAGTGAGAAATTTGTGGTTTTGTGAATTTTTTGTATCTCTTCTGCTGACTTTCTCAAGTAGTTTTATGACTTGTAATTTTGTTCGTGGGTTATTTATCATCTAAGGTTGTTTCTCATATACTTTTGAAGATATATTATTTGATTTTGAAAGGTGTATATGAGTAAATGGTTTGTATTGCATGTATTGTGTATCGCCCCATCCCTACTATAAGTACTACCGTACTTATGATGAATAAACCAATTAAATGATGTAAGCTTTCGTAAATAATATTTTTCATAAAAAGTAACACATATTGTGCACTTTGGTACATAATAGTAAATTATAATTGACGTGAAACGATGTAACCTGTATTGTACCTATGGGCTAAGATGGTGTTCATTTTGATAAAGTATTGTCTGAATAAAAGCTTGATGCACATTTAAAATGCTTTATTGTGATAAATCTTTAGATAAAATACAGTAACGTGGTATTGATCTTCTTTGGTTTACAGAATGACGTATGATGTTGTACCTGTGTTTAATCCAACTCAAACTTGTACACAAACGAATACAGATGCTGCTACTTTTCTGAAGACACATTCTTTGCATGAAATTGGTGGGAACATTGGTAAGAGCATCTTTTCTAAGTTGAATATGTTAGGATGATTAAAAATACCCATTGTGCACAATTTAGTTCTGCCAGTTAAAAGATATAGTGATCACTTCATTTTTGCTTGTTTCTATAATTTATTCCACCACATTTCTCAGATTTTACAGCTATATCATCACAAGAGTCATTTTTATTTGAATTATAGAGTTAACTTTAAGTTTAAAAATAAAAACAGTTATCAAAGTGCTATCCATATTCTGTTCAGGTTGACAACACCAAATACCTAGTATAAATGTATACGTATTTATGCGAAATAAGCCGAGACTTATATTTAGTACATTGGATACACCAGTTATATTAGTGGGTGTAATCGATCAGGAGTTGTATTAGTAGATGGGATTCACCAGAAGGTATACTTGGTAAGTGGGATCCATCAAGAGTTATATTTGGTAGGTGTAATCTATCAGGAGTTATATTAGTAGACGAGATACATCAAAAGCTATATTTGGAAGGTGAGATTCATCAAAGGTATTTTGGTAGGTGAGATCCATAAAGGGTTATATTTTTTAGGTGGTGATCCATCAGGAATTATATTAGTGGATGGGATTCACCAGAAGGTATACTTGGTAAGTGGGATCCGTCAAGAGCTATATTAACAGATGGGATCGATCAAGAGTTATCTTTGGTAGGTGGGATCGATTAAGAGTTATATTAGTAGATGGAATTCATTAATATGGTTATACTAGTAGGTGGGATCGATCAAGAGTTATATTGGTAGATGAGATCCGTCAAGAGCTATATTAACAGATGGGATCGATCAAGAGTTATATTGGTAGATAGGATCCATCAAGAGCTATATTTGTTAAGCAGAATCAATCTGGGATTATAGATGTTTGGGAAGAATTGGGAGATATATTTGGTATATAGGATCCATCTGGAATTTTAGTTGTTTGTGGGATCAATCTGGAGTTGAATTTGATATATAGGATTCTTCAAGTGATATAGTTGGTTTATAGGATCCATTATTTATATGTGAGACCATGTTGCACATGTATTATAAAGTAAATTAGGTGTTTGGTATAAATACGTAGTTATTGAAGGAATTTAACACTTCACTGTCTCTATAGTATCCCTGTTTTATGTTCAACAGGTGAGCGTCGACTAAGAAACGAAGCCTTCGCGCTCGCTATACATGTAGAAAACCCCTCTGCTGGATGGGAACTTCGATGTTGCCATTGGTAATACATTTTTCATCATACAATCAATGTGAAAAACGAGCTTCACATTACTTCGTAAGCGAAAAGGGGCTTAGGTGGTGTATCAACTTGAAATGAAAATTGAACAGACTCTTGTTTACGTCGTCATCACAGAATTATTGTTACAAAATGAATTTTTTATCTATTGTGTTTTAGAGTATTTTAAAGGAAGATCGTGAAAACAAATTAAGTTGTTATTCTTTTTATGAATGAAGTTGATTAATTGATTTTTGTAGAAAATTTTAGTACGTAATTGTTTTATATTTAGTACCTACTTAAAAAGTTGAATTGAAATCGTTTTAGAATCAAGCTTCTGAAAATACACTCAAACAAAGGTGTCATTCATACTCACGAAGTTTGTGGTTTACTGAAAAACTGTAAAAAACACCTCGGACGTTAACTAGTCTATTGATTATATTATTGATATTCACAACTTCCATGTATTTGTCTGAGATGCTGTAAGCACGTTGGATATTAATTAACTAGTTTATTGATTGTATCATTGATATCCAGAATTTGTATGTATTTGATTGAAAACTGTAAACACGTTGGATATTAATTAACTAGTCTATTGATTATATCATTGATATTCGCGACTTCCATGTATTTGTCTGAGATGCTGTAAGCACGTTGGATATTAATTAAATAGTCTCTTAATTGTATCAGAGGATTTTTTTGTGTTTGATTGAAAATTGTAAAAATGGCGTTTGGATATTTATCAGTATCTTGATTTTGTCATTGGCACTTGCGACGTTGGTGCTTGAAAACTGTACAAGAAAGACGGATATTAACTAGTTCCTTGACTTCGTCGTTCTTCTTTTATAAGAGGCATAATATATATATATATATATATGTCATTAAAGGAAATCAGAGTCATATATAAAATAGATAAATTCACTGCGTCATTAAGTTCAGTCGATTTTCTAAGAAAAGAATATAGTAAAATCTATATTTCCAACGCAAGGAAAATATTGTTATACTAGAAAACATATTACTTGAAATAAAGTGTTGATAAGTAAAGAACTAGCTAGTTTGAATAAATGCTGATAAGTAAAGAGCTGGCTAGTTTAATTACTTGATGATAAATAAATAGCAAAATAATTATTTATTCAAAAGGCTTCACAACACCACACATCAATTTCAATTCAAATGGTTTCATTAATCAACTCATACCACCACGCATCAACATCAATCCAAGTGGATTCAGTAATGAACTCACACCACTAGACATCAAACTCAATCCAAGTGGCTTCAGTAATCAGCTCACACCACTAAATATCAACTTCAATCCAAGTGAATTCTGTAATCACCTTACGGCACCACGCATCAACATCAATTCAAGTGGTTTCAATAATCAACTCACGCCACTACACATCAAACTCAATCCAATTTGTTTTAGTAATCAACTCACACCAGTAGACATCAAACTCAATCCAAGTGGCTTTAGTGATCAACTTAGGCCACCACGCATCAACATCAATCCAAGTTGCTTCAGTAATCAACTCACGCCACTACACATCAAACTCAATCCAAGTGACTTCAGTAATCATCTCACACAACTAATCTTAAACTTCAATCAAACATCTAACAAAAGGTCGAATTTTCATGGAAAAAGTAACAATATGCAAACAGGTAACAAATGACCAGCTTTCAATACAAAAAAGTTAAAACAGGTAATCAAAGGCCAACTTATGCAAAGAGATGACAAAGGGGCAAGTTCTGATAGCAAAAGAACAAAAGTGACAGAGAGTCAACTTCTTGATTGTCAAAAGATTGAAAAATGTAACAAAAATCGAACATTTATTTCAAAAAATATGCAATTCAAATAAAAAAGGGCAACTTTTGATTACAAGAAAGGTAACGAAAGATTAACGTTTCATTGCTATAATATACAATACAGTCCACTTTTGATCACTAAATTACACAATCGGGTAATTAAACGTCAGCTTTTGATCCCCAAATGATACAATCGGGTAATTAAACGTCAGCATTTGATCACTAAATGACACAATCAGGTAACTAAACATCAGTTTTTTATCACTAAATAACACAATCGGGTAATTAAACGTCAGCTTTTGACCATCAAATGACACAATCGGGTAACTAAACGTCAGCTTTTGATCACTAAATGACGCAATCAGGTAATTAAAAGTCAGGTTTTGATAGTTATAAAAAGATGCAAACATATCGTAACCTAGAGGTGACTTTTAAATATGCTGTCCTACAAACAAAAAACCATTACTATTAGAATTTCGTCCAAAGACACAATAAGATACTAAACTAAAATGATTTGCAACAATAATGATTATAATTTCCACCAATCATCTTATACAACTACTTATCAACTTCAGTCAGAGTGTTTTCTTTTACGTGAAGAATGTACAACAAAGTAATGTGTTTAATAATTCAAAAAGTGAAACTTTATTTACAGGAACTGTTTAATAACTTAATGTGAAATACACAGTTAAAGAACACAACCACTGCATTTTAAACCTTTTATGGAAATATGTTTAAGTGAAGAATCTAATCTATGTGGTTTAAAAAGTTGGTTTATGGGTGCAGTTTGTTTATTTGAACAGAATTCGACAAAGGATTGAAACAATGTAGTATGCACGTTTTATGGGAACAATGCTTGTTAAATAAAGAATGTAAGTATGAAGTATGTGATTTTTTTTATACGAACAGTGTTTACTAAATAACCTAAATAATGTGGTATGAACTTTTGTTTAGACGAACAGTGTTTATTGAATAACCTAAATAATGTGGTATGAACTTTTGTTTAGACGAACAGTGTTTATTGAATAACCTAAATAATGTGGTATGAACCTTTGTTCATTCGAATCGTGTTTATTGAATAACCTAGATAATGTGGTATGAACTTTTGTTTATACGAACAGTGTTTATTGAATAACCTAGATAGTGTGGTATGAACTTCTGCTTATACGAATAGTGTTTATTGAATAACCTAGATAGTGTGGTATGAACCTTTGTTTATACGAATAGTGTTTATTGAATAACCTAAATAATGTGGTATGAACCTTTGTTTATACGAACAGTGTTTATTGAATAATCTAAATAATGTGGTATGAACCTTTGTTCATACGAATAGTGTTTATTGAATAATCTAAATAATGTGGTATGAACTTTTGTTCATACGAACAGTGTTTATTGAATAACCTAAATAATGTTGTATGAACCTTTGTTTATACGAATAGTGTTTATTGAATAACCTAAATAATGTGGTATGAACTTTTGTTTATACGAATAGTGTTTATTGAATAACCTAAATAATGTGGTATGAACTTTTGTTTATACGAATAGTGTTTATTGAATAATCTAAATAATGTGGTATGAACTTTTGTTCATACGAACAGTGTTTATTGAATAACCTAAATAATGTGGTATGAACTTTTGTTTAGACGAACAGTGTTTATTGAATAACCTAAATAATGTGGTATGAACTTTTGTTTATACGAATAGTGTTTATTGAATAATCTAAATAATGTGGTATGAACCTTTGTTTGTGAGAACATTGCTTGTTGAACAACCTATAAAATATATGACTATTTACGAACAGTGTTAGTTGAATAATATACAGTATGGACTTTTGTTAGGTTACTTGTGTTTGTTTTGTTATCTAAACAATGTAATATGAACCTTTGTTTATAATAACAGTTTTTGTTGAATTATCTAAACATTCTTCTGAGAACTTTCTTATAGGAGCAATGTTTGTTTTTGTTATCTAAACAATGTAATATGAATCTTTGTTTATAATAACAGTTTTTGTTGAATTATCTAAACATTCTTCTGAGAACTTTCTTATAGGAACAATGTTTGTTTTGTAATCTAAACATTGCAGCATGAACTTTTGTTTAGGGGAATAGCGTTGGTAAAGAACCCAAGTAATAAATTATGACCGTTCGTTTGTAACAGTTGCAATTGATGTATACCAATTAATGGTAAGAGTATGATTAGTTAAGGTTTCAAAACAATATGGTATCAACGTATAAACTGTTTATAGGTTATTGAATTTCCCTCACGATATATAGATAATATTAGAGAAACCAACACAGTCTTTTATTGAATTCATTTACAAGAAATGCAATTAGCAGAAGACCTTCGATAATATTAAAATGTCTTTCTTTTTCGACAATATATCTACATCTATGTATGTATATATATATATATATATATACAGTATTTGAAACAATTATGGAAACAGTGAATAATATAAAGTACAAATATTATGTGTCTTCTTCCCCTCTATTGTAGGACAATGAATTGCACTAGGGCGCAGTCACGTGTTGACAGTTTACACTTTGACTGGCCATCACACAACCTATCAGAAAGTGACACACTAGTATAGTACTTATAAAATCAAAGACAGTCTTACTGTCCCCAAAAGATCTAAATCACGTCAATCAATGCGAAAGACAGAGGTCAGACACAACTTGCAGTAACTGCCAGGTAAACCACGCTGCCCTTAGTTCCAGCAAGTATTAGAACTCAAACACGGACAACAACTAGGTAAGACATATAACTATAAATATGCTTTTCCTTCCACAAAACGGTTTAGAAAACAAACACAATAGCCACTACAACCAACAGCTCAAGCCTCGACACAACCACGTATAGCATCCTACGCAGATATAGCAAAAAGACAATAGACAAACGACATAGAACAACAGAAAATCCCAACATCAGGAGAGTCGACGAAAGCTTCATAGAACGACTAGTGGCCTTTATCGCCGATGTACTGACGATCTGCTTCACGGGATTTGTTCAAGCAGTACCGCAGCTATACAAGGAAATATGTTCGGCTGATGACTACTATCTTAATCTCGAAACGAACTCCATGACGGACTGCATTGACCGAAGACACTCTAGGACGACTTTCAAGTAAGGAAAAATAGTTTCCTTTTTCCGTATTACTATTCAAGGAAGTTTGAACTGTACGAGCTTTGCAGCAACCTTGACTCAGATATTATAATTATAAACGAAACCCTTCTTAACGAGAAACACAAATTTAACTTACCCGGATACAACATTAAATGAATTCCTCATAGTACCAATAAGAGAGGGCATTGAGGTCACGACATTGACCACCCTCCTTGCTTTATACATGAGCCCATCAACCAGGCCAGACATCAATGTCTTAGAAAACATTATTAATAATCATCAAAAAGTAATTATTTTAGGAGACCTTAACTCTGAGCACCCGAACTTTGTTTTGTAGAATAACAAACAGAAACGGCACAATTCTAAATTATTTCGTTAACATAAATAACCTGACATGCATTAATGATACGCGCACACATTATGACGGAACACAAGACATTCTGGACATGGCCATAGTTACACGCAATATCTCGGCCCACATTTCTAACTTCAAATCAACGAACATATCGGAGGAGAATATCTACCAATTTCTTTTAATATTTTTTTTGTTAACAAAAATCAAATGATTGCCCCTCCCCCCAATAACCCATGATTTTACAAACACTGACTGGAACAAATTTAAAGCACAACTATCACAAAAATTCTTAAACTTTACAGATCAAACACCAAACAAAGAAAGACCAAATAATTATGCCCAAAAACTAACGCTAAACATTAAAGCATCAATTAAAGCTATAGTGCCACCCAGAAAACGCATCCAAAATATCCA